ATGTACAACTGACTTGTACTGACCAAACCTTCTAAGAAAGGGCGCTAACCAGGACGTGATCCTTTGGGCCGTGTCCTAAGCCAGCAGCAATAAAGCCGTCTTCATCCCTTCGCCTTTCTTCAACCCATTTAATGTACCCAAGAACGAACTTAATGCAGCGTTTAGCTCATTATCATCGAAAGATCGTAATAGCCTTGGCCCGTTCCTGTCGTACGACTCATCAAAGCTAGGAAGCGACGAATATCAGACTGGAGTACTTAGCCGAGTACTCCTCTAATCCTCTGACCCCGGGATCCAGTCTTTGTGAATAAGATGGACACCCTTTACCTGAGCCTCATCCTCCCTTTTCTTGTCGTTAATAATATCATTACCATCCTCGGAATTAATCGGGTATTACATATGGTGTAGAGAAAAAATTCGCATGTTCCGGGTCTCTCAATGGCGTATGAGGCTCTCCAGTGGCATCGCTCATGGAGGTAGTTCGCCCAAGTTTCAAGATTTTGGTGTTGGGGAGACTATCGTTCCAGAAGACGAGATTGTTCGTTTGTCTTCAGCATTCTGAAAGGACCCTCTGTTATCGGATAAGCTGACACTTTAGGCAGGGACGGGAGGAGCGGCGTCGGTGGCGCTGCCTTGTTGCATGCCCGGTGGCGGAGGCAGGAAGAGCGGGAGGTAGGTGACGGCGAGAGACATCACTAGGTATATGTTAGCGGACTCGCAAAGATGGGTTGCTTGTCCCGGTAAACGTACACGACATGCCCACGGAGAAGTATCCGGGTGTGCTGGTGCTCTTCTTGGTGTCTTCGCTCTCGCCGAGCCAGCTCTGGACGGCAAAGACGACAGCAGCCCTGAAGTATAATTTGCATCAGCAAACGGTCCACCAAGGCTTGCATTTGATTTTCAAATCCATATAGATCGCGGGTAGCTTTTTTCGAAGCTCCCTATGGCTGTGCTTGGAGTCGCATAGTGTGTTTTGCGCGCGCGCATCCAACGGGTCGTAATGTGAAGGTCCAATTACCATCCAATGTAGCGGTTGCGCATGAAGATAGCAGCCATGGGCAATGTGGACGAGAGAGTCGACTGGAATTCGGGGGCGTCGGTCTTCGCGGCCGGTTCCTGATAGGGGATAACTATGCCATTGACTTGGGTCAGCTTGATGCTTCGCGACTTTGACACCGGACAAGATGCACTTGTAGAAACTGGAATGAGGAACTTACTCAGGTCTGCCCTACGCATATCCTTCTTGGAAGACATTTTATATGAGTGTATAGAACGGAAATTGAAGCCGGTCTCGGGACTTGTTGCGTGAGGTTGATGGTCGTCCGGACGGTGACGTTCGAAGCTGGGGCAAGGTTGGAGACACCTCTCCCGGGGAAGCTCTGGACTTCCGTTTGCGGGACTCTGCCACGGCCGTCGCGTGCACGGTCCATTTACGGGCCCCACAGATGGTCTTGGCAGCGAATGCGGGGACTCGCGATGATTGCTGTTGTGGATGTTTCTGAAGACCCAGGCTCGCCGGGAATACTTACCTGGATTGATTCACTTACACAGTACACCTGACGCATTCCGTACATTTAAATCTTTATTTGCGACGTTGCAAGAGCCAAGCACTCCTTAAACTGTAACTGACTGGTTAACGAGTGAGAAGGTTGCACAGGTACTTGTCATGGTTAGATTCTCACAGTCATAAACGTAGCGTGCTCTTGACATTTTCTTCTCTTCGACTTTCCGGGTATAACCATTCCTTTGTTCCTTTTACTTGTGTTACGCCGTAACCCCCAGAGCTCGCTCAGCTCGGTCCTTGTTTTATTCGTGCATCCAAGTGTGTCCCCGCGCGAGTTGAATCGTCATAATAGCTACATCGAAAACTGCGCATCACATTCTCATTGCCCCTTGGGCCACTGTCCGTGTTCTTTACTTGGTTTTCTTCATGCCCTCAAGATACGCAACATCGCCTCCGGTCCGCAACTTGCCACCCTTCTCAATGACGGCCTCCTCCATTTGAAGCTGATATCTACTCATATGCTCCTGGTACTGAGGGATGAAGGAGCCCAAGATCCTGATGGCAAGAAGGGCGGCGTTGGTAGAGTTGTTGATGCCGACAGTAGCAGTGGGAACGCCCCTCTGTTAACAGTTAATGGTTGGACGGTAACATCGCTGGTATGGTGGGGCTAAACTTACAGGCATCTGCACGATGCTCAAAAGACTGTCAAGTCCGTCGAGGTGTGTTGCCTTGACAGGGACACCAATGACAGGGAGCGGAGTCTCCGAGGAGATCATGCCAGGAAGATGAGCGGCTCCACCAGCAGCAGCAATAATGACCTTGATGCCCTTCTTCGCTGCCTCGCCGGCAACCTTCATCATGTACTTGGGAGTACGATGGGCAGAGGTGATGTCGAGCGCATACGGGACCTTGAATTCTTTCAGGATATCAAGACCGGCCTTGAGGACGGGCAAGTCGGAGTCAGAGCCCATCGTGACCAGTACCAAAGGCTGATCCGAGTTATTTCCCTCCGCAGGGTTAGCTCCTCCGGGGTTCGTCTTGTTACTAGCCTTGGCCTCCTCCTGGGGACGAAGTTGCTCAGCAGAAGCAGCAAGACGCTCCTCTCTGATTTGATCGACCATGCTGATGAAAGGCTCAGCAGCCTGCTCAAGATCCTCGATTGAGGAGAATCCTGTCAGAGTAATATGGCCAATCTTGCGAGTAGGCTTGGACTCCTTGTTGTAGAGATGGAGGTAGACATCAAAATCATCTCCGTACGTCGTCCTGGCAAGACGAGCGAGCTTGTGATGGGAGTTGGGGGCGGCACCACCCAAGATGTTAAGCATGATAGAAGATGAGACTCTGGGGGTGAGCTCGTCGGGGATAGGCAAATCAAGGACGGAATAGAGCTGCGCCTTGTATTGGGACATGTAAGGAACGGCCTCAATGGTGTAGTGGCCCGAGTTGTGGGGGCGAGGCGCGACCTCGTTGATCATCAACGATCCTGAACGATATGTTAGCATGCTAGAGGTAGGCATTCAATAAAATTGTCACCAAATGCTGCTACTTACCGTCCTCGAGGAGGAACATTTCAACGGCAAAGACGCCCCTTCCCCACAAGGTGCCAATCACATCACAGGCCAGCTTCCTAGCCTGCTCACAGACATTGTCATCCACTCCCCTGGGCGGCATGAAGACTTTCGTGCAGATGCTGTCTTCATGGATGGTCTCAACGGCAGGGTAGGCGACGCATTTTCTCAGATTGCCTTCATCATCCTCAGTACGAATGACCATGACTGCAAGCTCCTTCACGAAAGGAGCCCACTTTTCCGCGTAGAGAGGAAGCTTGCCCAACGCCTCGATGGCAGGGGCGAAGTCCTCTTCACTGTTGACCTTGAAGTTTCCTCTTCCATCATAGCTTCCCTTCCTGGCCTTGAGCATGAAGGGAAAACCAAACTGGTCAGCAGCTTCCTGGAGGGACTTGAGAGCCGACTCGCCCGACTCAATAGCCATCTGATCAGCAATGGGGATTTTGGTCTTGCTGGTCCGGAAGTGTTCCTTCTGAAGATACTTGTCCTGGATGAGACGGATGGTTCTCCAGGAAGGATGGATAGGCGGTTTGTGAATAGCAACGGAGCCATCGGCGAGCTTGATCTCGACGCCATTCTTTTCGATATCCTCGAGAACCTCGGTTTCGACATGCTCGATTTCGACAGAAAGATAGTCGGAACGAGCAGCGAGCTCACGAATCTTGACCGGGTCCTTGAAAGAGCCAGTGACATGGCGGTTGGTGTTATGGGCCTGCTTAGCAGGGGAGTTCTTCTCGTCGAGGATGGCGATGTCGATGCCCAGGGGGTTTGCGGCCTCACAGAGCATACGACCCAATTGGCCGCCACCGAGAAGGCCAATGACCGGGTTGCTGCTTCCCATCTTGTCGGATTTTTGTCTGAGGCTCATCGGGATGAATTTGGCGTGAGCAGATGACTCTTGCTCAACCTAAGGAAAAAGCTGAAGAATGAGCCGCAACTTAACAAGCTGAAGAAACCTGGAGAGAAGCGATGATCGGCCGCTGGGGGCTGCGCAAGAGTCATATAAGACAGGGGGTCTTGCGCCTTGTTAAAACCGTGAAACCGGGGCAACTGAAGCTGCTAGTGGGGTCAGATCAGGTACGTGTAGTGGGGGATGAAGCACCGATAGCGGGAAACTGTTAATGTAGGGGTCACTCATGAACTTCCATCCGTTCCGACGTGTGGCTCTACGATATTTCCTCCTGGTAATTAGGTGTTTACGTTTGTTAGCCCAAAGAAAATTACTACCGCTGGGTGTCTCGCAAGACGTCACATCCAGCGATCTTGGATCGCCAAGTTATCTAGATTTCGGGCTTCGTAAATCGTGGGCTTGTGAACGTCAATCAAGTCAACTGCCGTGGCGGCTATCAAAGCCTCAAAACCCCCACTACCAAGAAGAAGAAAAAAAAGCAAAAAAAAAAAAAAAAAGCGGGTGCTGATCGCCCAAGCACCTTCACTTGCAACTGAACTGCACCTCTTCACAGACCCTCCGGCGCATCCACGGAAGTCGCCCACTCTCACTCTATCCTTCCACATGATATCAAAAGCTTAGGACTGTCATCAAGATGGAGGCCACCCCGGAAAGATCTAACCAGGATATTGTTCAGTAAGGCCTACCGACCCTTCTCTATTATTCCTGCAACAAGTGCTACGATCTTGAAGGTCTCTTCCCTGTGCTCTAGCTGAGGAGACTATACATATGAGCCTGGTCGATTACTGCCTGTGCTTTGTACATAGACCATACCATACAGGGACGAAATGCATTTAACTGACTTGTTCCCGTCTTGAGAAAGTCCGCTCAAGCTCTTTGACATTGCAAAGAGTGAAAAAAGATTTCTTTACACTTTGGCGCCTATGGTGAGGTATGGCAAGGCAAGTGGCCTCCTCCTCTACCAACACTCTTTTCCCGAGTTCCCATTACGAATATCATAATAATCTAACAAGCTGAACAGCTTGCCTTCCGTCAAACAGTACATGATTATGGCACAGATCTTTGCTGGACGCCCATGATTCTGGCCAAAGAGTTCAACAGGAACCGATTTGCCAGAGACAGTGATCTCACTATCTCCACAAACGGACCGCAACCTCCAACAGTGGTACAATTTGGTGCCAACGATCCCCAAGAGTTAGCCCGAGCGTCTACCCTCGTAGCTCCTTACGCCGGCGGCGTGGATCTGAACTGCGGATGCCCTCAGTCATGGGCATGCGCTGAGACGCTTGGTGCCGCGCTGATGGAAAAGCGAGAACTGGTGCGGGACATGGTCATTGAGACTCGAGAGTATCTGAGACAAGATGGATGGGGTGTTGGGAAGGAGAGGGATGTCGATAACCCCAAGGGAAGGAGCGTCAGCGTCAAAATCCGTGTTCACAAAGACTTGAGGTAAGTGACACACGGTGCATACTTATGATCTCGGGGATAGGTAGCAGGAATCGGGAACTAACTAGACCCCCATGCAACAGAAAAACGATGGACTTCATCACCACCGTTCTCGGCCCCTCGCAAGACCGCCACATCGACTGGCTTACTATTCACCCTCGCACCCGCCAAACCCCCTCCAGCACACCCATCAACGTCGAAGCGCTCGAGATCCTCACCACCACCTTCGGCGACAAAGTCCCCATTCTCCTCTCAGGCGATGTCTTCACCCTCAACTCTCTCCCTTTCACCTCCCCTTTGCTAGACCCAGCCAACACGCCCACCCTCACCAGCAAGTCCATCACCACCGATAATGTTGAGAAAAAGAAAACACCACAATCCCCTCTGCTTAACCTCCCCAAACTCTCCGGGCTAATGTCCGCCCGCGCCATCCTCGCCAACCCGGCCCTCTACGCCGGCTACGACGCATGCCCGTGGGAGGCCGTGGAGACGTTCATGAGCCACCTGGCACGGGCGCCGCTGCCCTTCAAGCTTGTGCAGCACCACCTCAGCGAGATGTGTGCGCCGGGCATGGGACCGAACAAGAATGCCCTGCTAAGCAAGCCGGAGCGCAACGCCATGCTGAGTTGCACGAATATGGTTGACTTGGTGGATTTCTTGGATGAGAAGGCGAGGGAGAAGGGGTATGGAGATGAGTTTGGGTTGAGGAGGGCGGTGTGAGTTGTGTCAACGAGCCAGGTTGACTTTGAAGGAGTTCAGTTGTTTATGAATGGAAGATGGCAATCCCTGAATAGAACAAGGCATCCATGGGGATTGAGCCATGGTTAATGCGTGAAGTCCTGTTGATCCATAGCTTCATGTTTACTGGTGGGCTCAAACGAGGCCCCCCGCTGCTTGTAGCCTGAAATGGAGGGGATAAAACCTACCTCTCTCACCTTTGCCGGCATTAAACTTGTTAGCGTGGTGATTTGCAAGTGGCAAGAACTCTAATTTGCGTACAAAGGATGGCTAGTTTGACCACTTCTAAATCCTTGAATACTGTAAAGTGGTGGTACCACACTAATAAGTTTAAAGCCGGCAGAGGTGTACTGTGTATATAATTTACAGGATATCATACAACTTGACACCGTCATGATCTGTCGCCATACTGCTTGATCAAACGACCCCCGTTACACCCACGAGCCAGGGGAAGTTTGACCAAAGAATACCCAATGCATTTTCCATGCTCGCCAACCAATTCATTCCATGTAATTTCAAGAGCGCCTCCTGTAGCCCCCCACCGCTGACGCCTGATACCGCCGACTACCCTATAAGCCAAAGTAATAAACCCGAATTTGGAGCAGCAACTGCAAGATCTGGCGGAGGCGGGCAGAAGATTCCCAATCTGCAACGCTAATTCCTGTTGATTTCTCCTTCATCCTCATCGCTCGTAACCGTCCGCGCCCGCTTATTCTCCGGTTCACCTTCCACCGCCGGATCGGATACGGAGCTCTTACGCTTCGCCCCGGGGGGTGACTGTAGTCTGCTGTCGTTCGGCCTTCGTTCATGTATTGCCAGATTGTTGGCGGCTTCTTTTAGTAACGCGTCGGAATCTCCTCTGTGCGAAATGGACGACACCGGCGCCTGCTCCATCCTTGCATCAAGTCCCGAAGTAGCGCTGTCCGGTTCGCTCTTGATAACGGAAGCTGACTTTGCCTCTGAAGAGCCCTTCGTCGCTGAACCGTTCTGGGCCTCCGAAGCCGATATCCCGCCTTCCTGCTTAATATGTTGTGGCTGCGACCTCTCCTCATACTCCTCCAGTGTGCCATTGGTGTTGCCGTTGACACGATGACGGCCACTGGAGCTCCTAGGGCTCTGTGTACTACGGTCTGTCTCCATCGGAGTACCATCGCCCTCCTGCTGACTAGATGCCGTTCCAAGTCTACGCCTAGTGCTCTCGAGGTTGAAGGTGGGAGACGGAGACATCCTGTTATCCTGTTTCCTCAATGGGTTCTCCTTATAGAACTCCGTAATGACATCCATAGCCATGCACACCTTGCCCTCGTCGCCCTTGAGGTATTTCCACCACGCCTCCCCGTCGACATCGTCTACCTTCTCTTTGAGGATGGAAGCGGCGAAAAAGATGGCACTGATGGCGATGTCGCGCGCATTGAGTAGCAAGGGCAGGACTGTGAGGCACAAGTCGTTGCAATAAGTCCAAGCGGCGTTACGGAAGGCCTTGTTGCGAACCAGATGCTGCTTCTGCTTGGAGTAATCTTGCTGCGGTTGACTGCTTTCTTGTTGCTGCAGAGGAATGTCCTGCTCTAGCATGTTAAGAAACTCGTATAGTGGGTGGTATGGAATTCCGACCATGAGATCAAATGTCAACTGCTCCAGCATCACCTCCTCGTAGTTAAGAATACTGTCGCGCCACCGCCAATATTCCTTACTTTGTTCGTCGATGATTAGCTTCGTATTTTTCTGGGCGACTTTTGCGACCGCAATGATCAAATCTTTTGTTTTACGGCAATTTTCTTCTGTTTTATTCGCGAGAAAGAGCGCTGTAGCAGCGATATTCTGCATATATGAAATGGGTTAGTTGATGTTGCGCATCCTCAAAACTGAATGACCACATCCGGGTTGCTGAACACGACTTCCAACACGGGCGCCATAAAAATTGGTTAGAGGACATGAAAAGACTTACGTAGTGATGAATGCCACCCTTCTCTTCCACCATGCTTCTTCGCATGTAAAAGCGGTGGAAGAACACGCCGGCAACCCACAGTGTGATTTGCGGGAGATCAAGCATGATGCCAGCCTGAAAAATAAAGTTGACGCCTTTGGCCCTTCGTAGGCGCTCTTCTGACACAGAGAGTCCATCTATGATGCTGGGTGTGCTCGCTACTTCGTCGGGCGTGAAGTACCATTGATCGGGACGCGCGACCGGTAGTTTTTGAGGGCTCGACGGTGGGCGTACTGTTGCCGGTGACGCTACGCTCTTAGTCGAGTGTGGCCGGGGAGGTGACGTCCGGGTCGAATGTGAAGGTGGCGATGGCACGGCAGGGGGCACATCGCGTCTTCTCACCGGCGATTTTGACAAACGATTGTCAACCGGCGGCGGAGGCTTTGCGGGGAGCCCGAGCGATGGTGGCTGGTAGCCCTCCCGCGGAGGACGATATGACATGATGCAATGTGGTGGTTGACGTTCTGGCTCGTTCCCAAATAAGCGAATCCTCCCCGTGTCGCCCTTCAGACAGCTTTGAGCGGGTTGATGCGCATGGGGACTTGAGCTGCCCGGATGCTGTGCGTTGAGGATATTGTGAATGGCGTCTCTCGCGATAATAACCGGCTGGGGATAAAACCACTTGAAAATGCAGAAATGCGAGAAACGAAGAAGTCAAAAGTTCGAAAACGGACCAACTCTACAAGTTCCCGGTGATGGCGTCTGCTGCCATTGTTTTATCGCCCTTTATCAGAAAGCCAAGCTTCGCACGATGGACCGTGCGTCACCATCTCCCAGGGTGACTTTACAAGCGCCAACCAACGCGAGCGGCAGGTGTCCCGCCCAACCCTGCCCGCGTCACTGCAGAAAAGAAGGGAGAAGGGATCTCAGCAGGCCCACTTTCGCGGTCAGGTGACCCCCCCTATTCTTACCGGGTCAGTGAAACGCAACCACAAGGCGACTCAAACGCATGTACCAAACGCAGCTTGATATGGGCACCCAGTTGTGGTGGTTCATCTACGAAATTCAGACGGCTTCTATGCAATCTATCTGCCGATACTGTCTCTCGTCGAGCGGTAAGCCAAGCCCTGGCCTGTCGCTTGCTGAACGCCCTCCTTAGTGTGTTGCTCCTATGTAAGAGGCAACGACAAGATTCTTGTCGCGTACATGATTGATGTCTGCTCAGGAATCATACAAGCTCCTGGAGTCGTTTCTTCCCCAAAGTTTGACCGTCCGGTCATGGCCACCGCTTACAATCCATTTTCCGTCCCGGCTAACGTCAACACTCGCAACAGGCCCTGTGTGGCCGCTGAGAGACTGAACCAAGGCCCAGTCGTCAGCGGAAAATATGTTTACCTTGTGGTCAAAGCCTGCCGACACCATAAAGGTGCCGGATTTCTTGGGAATTTGCATTCCCTTTTCATCTTCGCCAGGAGGCACTCCTTCCAACGGGTCATCCAACCCCTTAAACCACCGCACGTCGGCCACTGCACTTGTATGGGCACCAATGCCTCCAATTCTTTCCACTTTTCTAACGTCCCAGCATTTGATCCAACCATCAGCAGACGCCGTGAGCACCCTGTAACCGTCCGAGCCCCAGTCCAAACCATAAATAGGCTTGATATGGCCGTCCTGATGCCCATCTAGAATCATGGCAGTCCGTCCTGTCCGCAGATCCCAGATTCTTCCAATACTGTCCAAACCCGCGCTAGCGAGTAGCGATCCGTCACTGTTATAACTGACAGCGTATACACCGCGAGAGTGACCTTCCTGGAGAAGGAGCTCGGTGCCGGTTTCAACATCCCACATCCTCCATGAGGTGTCTTCTGAGGCAGAAGCCAGATACTTGCCCGATGGATGAAACTCTACACGACATACTCGTTGCGAGTGTCCTGAGAGAGTTCTCAAAGGCGTGTCTTGGTTCAAAGACCAGAGATGGATCTGGCCTTCCGCTCCTCCAGAAGCGAGATTGACTGTGTCGGGAGAAACATTGCGCTCGGGCAGTGTAGCTCCAGGCATCCAGCATAGGCCGCTGACTTTGTTGGTGTGGCCCCTCAAAGTCTTCCTTGGCTCAAGGGTTGGGATTTCGATGAGTTTAACCTGTCCGCCCCAATTGCCAGTTGCGACCATTTTTCCATCAGGCGAGATCCTTGTCATGCTGATGTGCCGCTCTCCTGCCGTTTGACTGCCTTGCAATTCAAATCCTTGAAGCTTCTCCTTGATCTCTTTTCGGTGTTTGACATGTGTCCGCAGTGGGATGGCGGACTCCTTCTTCTGGAACTCGATGCGCTTCTTGGCTCTCGGGATTGAGTAGTGGGCGATGTCGATGCGGGCCTGGAGCAGTTCCGGGCTGCCAGTAGTGTAAAACTCCTCTTCTTGGTCACCGGCTTCATCTTCCTCGTTGTCGGCGTCCCGCATCTCCACGTCAGCGCTTTCCTGGCCTCCCTTCTCGGCTTGTTGTGTCATGAGTTCTCGTAACCTGTCGCGTCTGTCTGCCGGACCCTCGCCGAAGAGGGTGACAGGCTCGCCCATCTCTCGCAATTTGGCTCGTACCCGGCCATCGTCGGTAGGAACAGCAATCGAAGCCGCTAATCGTTTTCGTTCGAACTGTGATAGAAGAACAGAGGCCTTCTCTGGGGCAATACCAGCCCCAGCACCGGGGATGTCGTAGTCGCGATCGAGGGCTAACACGCAGATCAGTCATGGGTTGAGAGCCATACAAGAAGTGTTTTGAGGACTTACGGACGGAGTCTAAATCCATGCCTCCGCGATCCTGCTTCAGGGGAGGTCAGTCCGGGCTCTGTTTGCAATGTTGAGCAGGTGCCTTCAATGTTGCGAGGGGCGCAAATAGAGCAGGGTCTTACCTCAGGCTCGGCCTCCTCCACGTAGGCTCTACGCGCCGGATGCATAGTGCTGAACTTTCGGTGTTTGGTCGCTTGCTAAATCTTCTGGACACTTGAACGCGAGTAAATTCAGGTGATTCGGATTCGGCTTGTGGTTGCTAAAGGACCGTTTGATGTGCGGGCTCGGTGTTTTGGTTGCTGTCGTGAAATAGCAGGTGATGCAATCACAGGGAAGTTTACAATGCTGGCGCCGTTGCTGTTGCGGGAGCTCCACTAAATTTTCCGGCGCATCTGGCTTCGACCCTAACCCTCAACAAACTGTCCCACCTCGAGCCACCTGAATGCGCTCATCTCAGTCCTAGCACCGCGGGCACCTCATATTCAAAAGTGAACCAACGAATCGCCATGAAACTTTCACCGATCATTCAAGAGGTACGTACAGTTTCAACGTTTTATGTGATATGTGATGGATTCCTTGTTGGCATCAACATCCGTCGACACCCACTTCGCACACGGTAGGTTTGGTCCGAGGTGACATGGAAGTGCGATCACAAATGGTGCAGCCAGTTCCCCCTTCCCAGCCGTCGACCAATGCGGTTTAATGACCGCCAATCGAGCCCCGGCTGTTCGGATTCCCCAGACTTATCAAAACTGAAGATCAGGGTCGGCATTCAGCGGCCTTGGTACACTACACTACCTATACACACACGACACCTGCCGTATGGTATTGGAGGTTCATTTCTGGACATGGAGAGCAACATGGGGCCATTCCAGGTTGAAAGCTAGTGTAGAAAAAGCCTGGAAAATGACCGATGGTGCATTCCCTTTTATGCGCGTGAGACACATGTCTCTCACCCGATTTTCACGTGCTCTCGCCAATTCCTCCTTTTCCTTCCACCAGACCAATCCAGCTGGCCTTTCCGCCCTTTCAGTTGCTCGCCTGCCCGGCCTGCCCGGCCTGCCCAGACCGTGACGCATGATGTGAATCCTTTTCTCTTTATCGTGGTTGGCTCAATGGCGGGATATTTGGGTGAGGCGGACGCGGCCCCCTGCCCGGCTAGTGCATTCCAGTCCCTAGGGGTAAGTACTGAATTGCACATAGGTAATACCCAAGGTAACAAACCCGGTCCAGGCCCGTTCTAATTGACTGCAGGTGCAGAGTCCGGGCTCCATTTTATTTTAACTTCTGCTTCCCACAACTCCATTTCATTGTCGCCATAGTCGACCTCTTTCTTCGCACGCTCCCCCAGTTGCAACTCTCTTCTTTTTTTTTTTTTCTTTTCTGTTTTTTCCTCTTTCTCTCTCTCTCTTCTTGACAGTAAAAAACCACATCTTATCGAGACTTTTCACCCTCAATGCATATCGAGAAGACCGTCGACGACAATTCCACTTCCTTCTTCAAGTACCAGATGCGTGCGATTCCAAGCCATCAAGGACCCAGTTTGACCACCGAACACCGCGCCGACGCTCAGCGACGCAGAGGCGAGCCTTGAATACGAAGGCCGACAGAGGCTTTGAGGGATCGTATCTGTCAAGCTATAACGAGAGCTATCTAGTCTACCGATTATAGTCCATCATAGCGACACGACACCATCCTACTGCTGGCCCATCAACGACTACGACCAAGATGTTCAGATCTCCAGCGACTCCCGCACTCAAGACGGTACGTGGCTTCCACAGCACCCCGGCTGCATCCGACGATGAGGATTCCGACTGCTGTCTCTCGCCCGACCCTCGCAAGGGATTGGCAACCAAGAGCAGCAGAAGTACGCTCATGGTGGACGATGTTGTCAGTGCCAATTGCAGCCCGTCTTTGAGGCCCGTTGTCTCGCCTGCCATGAGCGGAATCAGCATGCTACGGATGCACCAGGATATTCAGGCCCTCAGCCTCGACACTGCTGCCTCTTCACGTGCTAGTTCCATGACGTCGAAGCTTGGTCGCCGTGTTCTTTCTGGCGGCCCGGCCCGCCAAACCGGCTACAAGCGCAGCAACAGCAGCGGCACCAGTTCTGGGGATGAGACAGCATCCGTGGCCACCGAGAGCTACGAAATCAACCTGGAGCACGATTTTGCCGTCGATGGGAACCTCAGCACTACAATTGATTCAACCGAAGCCGTGGAGATTGGCTCTGACGGTGGCGTTGCCCGCTCGCAGAAGATGACTGCGGATGACTTTGAGCCCCTGCGATGCCTGGGCAAGGGAACGTATGGTACCGTTCTACTGGTAAAGCAACGTACCACTGGCCGTCTCTTTGCGCAGAAGCAGTTCAAGAAAGCATCTCTCGTCGTGCACAAGAAGCTGGTTGAGCAGACCAAGACGGAACGCCAGATTCTGGAAAGCGTCAATCGCCACCCTTTTGTGGTTAAGCTCTTCTACGCCTTTCAGGATCAGGAAAAGTTGTATCTCATTCTTGAATACGGCCAAGGCGGTGAGCTCTTCACCCACCTGAACACCGAAAAGATGTTCTCGGAGTCGACGGCAGCCTTTTACATGGCGGAGATGGTTCTTGCCCTGTCCCATCTTCATACCACCTTGGGGGTCGTCTATCGAGACCTCAAGCCCGAGAACTGCCTTCTCGACTCCGAGGGCCACCTTCTTTTGACCGACTTTGGCCTTTCCAAGGTGGCGATTGAGTCTGAGGAGTGCAACTCGATGCTTGGTACCGTGGAATACATGGCTCCCGAGGTTATCCAGGGCAAGAAATACGGCCGCTCGGTTGATTGGTGGTCTCTCGGTGCCCTTGGCTTCGACCTGATGACGGGCAATCCTCCGTTCCGTGGAGGGAACAATGCCAAGATCCAGGAGAATATTGTCAAGCAGAAGCTCATCATGCCCTACTTCCTGACTGCGGAGGCCAAGGACCTGCTGACGCGGTTGCTGCGCAAGGATCCCGCCAAGCGTTTAGGCTCAAACATGCCCAAGGATTTAGACACCATCAAGAAGCACCGGTTCTTCCGCAAGATCGACTGGAAGAAGCTTGCGGCTCGTGAACTCGAGCCTCCTATCCAGCCCATGATTACGGATCCAGAGCTTGCGGAGAACTTTGCGCCCGAGTTCACAGAGCTGAGCCTCAGTCCAGTTGTCAGTCGCTTCGAGGAGCGATATGCGGCTGCCGCTGCCAAGGATGATCTCTTTGGAGGATTCAGCTTTGTTGCATCGAACAGTCTCTTGGATGGTGATGGCTTTGGAATGCGTGTCGGGACCAACATGCTCTAAACTTGGCGGTGAGAGTGAGCCAAAAGGAGGACACTGAAGATCATTCTCATTCTGTTGTTTTGACTGGGTTTGGGGGAGTTAAGGACAATACAGGAAAAGTGCTATTCAGCTGGTGCGCCATGATTTATGGCAAAGGCACCAGCGCAGCGTGAATAATGATAAGGGTAACGGACCAAAGCAATACAGTACTATAAGATCAGTCGGTCCTCTGCTCGTTTCTTCTATTTCTCGTTTTTTTCGTGTGTTCGGCGATTGAATATTCCATTCAGTTATGGACGAAGACAAATTAGATAGCTCAGGCAATAGACTCGCGCGCTTTATGCCATTAAACAAAAGAATGATCGGCAAGGACAGGAACATATTCCAATGGCAAATGTTTGTGGGAACCAAAATTATCATTTCAATGGACGCGCGTCCTCTCAATATGCCTGTCACTCATCCATCGTCAAACCTCCTTCACGATTCACCAAATGCAACAGATCAACCACGCATGTTACTCAGCCACCACCAACACCATCATCTGCACTCATGCACATCAGCACCACAGCTCTTGACCGATACCTAGCTTCTTGTCCAACCGACACACCTCGAGACGCCTCGACAAGCCTTGAAGCCTCAGGGACAAATCGGCCACGAGCCCGAAACCGAAAAGGCCGCGCGGCTTATCGGGTTTTCTAATGCTTGGTTATCTTAGCAGCTCCTGTCTGCTCTCGGGGCTTCCCCTTCGAAAGTCCGATCCGGTTCCTAATGCCAACCATTGAAAGTGCGAAGAACGTATGTGGGGGACATATGTGAAGATGTTAAGGATTTCTACCTCACTACACGTAGTTGGCAATTGGACATGAATGATCGACAGGGATGCCACCGTCACTGCACTAGTGTAGCAATACTTACCTAACCTTGAATCTTCTGCATATGTATGTAGAGTATTTTGTTGAATCAACCGTCATTTAAACGTCTGTCTGCCTGTCCTGAAACCTAAGAAGGTGGTACTTTACACCACGCTAGAGTTGTTTATAGTTGTTATGCATTTCAGCCCTGTAGAGCTACCTCTAGTGTACCCTGCCGAGCCTGCATAGCCGAACTGACGGGCATTGGTGTTCATGGTGGGACTTGGGTGAAGTTAAGGTTGCAGACCAAGTCGGTTAGGAAAGATGTGGTTTCAAGTTGTCAACCCATAAACTTTTGGTTTCTTTACCTTTTACTCCTTGGGCTTTGTGGAGAGTTCCTTCCCTCGATGCCTTTGTTCGGTTTTTTTTTTTTTCTTCTTCTTCTTTGTTTTTTTTTTCTCTCTTCTTATTGGAGCAGCAAGCCGAATGCTCAACACAGAAAGAAGCGAGCAGATACAGATTCGGAAAACTTTTGATACATAAAGGTATACCGTAATACGAATTACACGTACATAGCATCCGAATCAGGAATCGTCGAGCAGACGCTTTCTGTCTGTAGCTAGTGACAGTCCTGAATGGTGTTGTGTGCAACCACGTCAGCTGTAGGTGCGGCCCGGTATATATACGGATCTCTTTCCGGTGGAGCGGCTGTGCCTGTGCCGTGATTGTCAGTAACCAAGTACCTGGATAGAGATGCTAGAACCATTGGATGGGTCAGGCAGGTCTAATGTTTTCTTTTGAGGTGAAATCTTGGAGAGCCAACGTGCCGTACAAACTCGAGTTTTGAAACACAATGGTTTTTGTGTAGCAAGCAGTCTTCAGCGTTTGTGACTCGGGTACACGAGGAAATCAAACCCTTTCTGGTTTTGCCTGCTGCTCAAATTTGATATACCAAGTATGCCAAGGTAAGGCATGCAGAGACGTATAAGGAGTAGGTAAGAGAAACCGTGGAATCACAATCCCATTACAGGACCCAAGTTCCTAAGGTTTCCTCGAGGACGGACTCCGCCAAGTGCGATAAACCGATGCATTCGCGCTCCAGCCATGGCTTGGATGGCTTGAGAAGTTTATGCAGCTGGCGTTCGTCGGTTCGCGAGCTCACAAGTCAGCCGTCAGTCATCAGCATGTACGACGCCCTGCATTCCACAAAGTCTTCTGCAGATGAACCTCCACCCAAAACATGTAGTGGTGACCGAGGTATGTACATTGGATTTGATGTGGGCCAAGGGATGAAAGGAAATTGGGCTGGCATCTGCTGCTGGCTGACAAGCTACATGCGTATCTTTGTGTGGCCGTGCCATGTTTGAGACCAGATTCACATACAGCTGAAGTAGGTATATGGATGTGTATCTGCCCCTCCCCTCGCGCCTGCCATTGTCTCAAGACTTCAACGAAGTGCCAGCTTTTGTTCGAGTTGATCATCATCCAAACATTCATTTCATTGAGCCAACCCAACTCTTTCTGTCGCCCAGGGACGCTACTTGATATATTCATTCCTACAACATTGTTCAATCATTTGTAGACTCGGCCTCTATATCCTATCAGCTTGGGCCTGATAACTTACACTTAACGACAATTGACCTGAATCATGAAGACCATTAAGATGTCGCTGTTAGCCTCAGGGCTAATTGGTAGGTCCAATCTCAGCATCATCACATATTCTCACGCACAAACAGTCTGATACTCATGGACGAACAAAATTCTGTAGCCAGCATTGCGGTCTACGCTACCACACCAAAGTACTGCGCCACCGGTGCCGACAATGTCTGTTTTCGATTTGGCATCCCCCAATCATCCGCCGACTCGGGGTCCGGCAACATATATTTCCAAATTCAAGCGCCGTCGACATACTCATGGGTAGCTCTCGGCACGGGCGATCAAATGAAGGGGTCCAACATGTTCGTGATGTACCAAGATGGGTCGGGTAACCTGACATTATCATCCCGCCTTGGCACCGGGCATTCGATGCCAGAGGAGGACACCAGTTCTTCGGCGGCAGCCTTGGGTCTGCTTGCGGGAAGCGGAGTGGCAAATGGCGTCATGGTTGCAAACGTCGTCTGCCCAAACTGTGAAACTTGGAACGGAGGCTCGCTCAGCCTGACGGACACTGCGTCGAAATGGATTGCTGCGTGGAAGTCGGGATCATCTCTGGCGACTACGAGCAAGAGCGCAAGCATCAGTCAGCATGATGACCATGACCAGTTCCAACTCGATCTCACCCAGGCGACTGTTTCTTCCGATAGTAACCCCTTCCTCGAGGCAGACGTCGAAGAACCGGGAACCGGAAGCGGAGGCGGCAGCAACGGCGGAGGCGGCAGCGACGATCCTGGAGATGTTGTAGGACCTGGCAATCCATTCGCGCCTGTTGTTGGCGGTAGGCGCAGGGATGCGGCTTTGGTTGCACACTCTGGCATCATGACGGCCACCTTTGCGGCTCTTTATCCCTTGGGCTCGATGCTCATGCCTCTAGCCGGAAGTTGGATTGCCCACGCCGTTTGGCAGACTGTTGCCTTCGTCATGATGTGGATTGGCTTCGGCCTCGGTATTCATGTTGCGCAAGAGAGGAATATGGTATGTAAAGCGCTGGCTCTTGCTTGTTCTTGAACCGCACACAAGGGTGAACAACAGCTGCTGACAGTTCGCAAAAAGCTCTTCAACAACACACACACCAAGCTCGGAACAGCCATTGTATTCCTCCTTCTTGTCCAGCCAGTACTCGGAATCATGCACCACAAATACTTCGTGAAGTACCGCGAACGCGGTGCGGTCAGTTATGCTCACATCTGGTGGGGTCGTATTCTCCTGATTCTTGCCGTCGTCAACGGTGGTCTTGGCCTCAAACTCACCGATGCCAGCAACTCGGCCGTCATTGCTTACTGCATCGTTGCAGCCATCTGTTTTGGTATCTACGCCATTGTCAAGTCATGGGCAGTCATCCGCCGCGGCCGTCAGGGTGGTCCTCATTTCCGGAAAAGTGACAACTTCACTCATCAACAGCGATATCCAGTTGGTCGGCAACCTTACAGGCCAAGAAACCGGGTATAAAGAAGGGAAGAAGTCGTGAGAAAGCAGCAAGCATAGCTATGCTGGCTTGGAAATGAACAGTTGAAGATAGTCAGCAGTAGTTTCCCGTGTTGGCTTGAGGGTATACGATGGTTTGAGATATACCAATTATGACAGGAGGCTTGTGTTTAACAAGAGATGGGATGATACGGTGATCTGATGTTGATCCATTACTGATTAGTGGTGAAGTTTTGGCTGGCGCTGGCTAGACGTGGTTAAAGCTGTACATTAAACAAATATCAACAACCAGGGAAACATTGTGTAATTGTAAAGTAATGAAACACAAGCTTGGGTTGAGCCAGATCAGTCATGACAAGAACACAGTGGAAGCCGACTTTGGACCAACCTCATGTCAGACTAGAGAGTGGAAACTGGGGATGTCCCCACTCACCACCCTGGCTTCTCCTCATCAACCGCAAAACCATGAGGTCTTACCATTGGCATTTGATGTTGGAAATCGGAGCACCAGCGTTCATTATATCGATGCTGTGAGAATCTCATATGACCACTCCCTCCATTTAACATTTTCGTAGATTCCAAGCCTTTCAGTCGTGGTACTCGCCTGTGGTCAATGACTGATATCACGTGACAGCATCGGCGTTTGGTACACCTGCCATGGCCCATGTGGGAGGGGTGAAAGAACGTCCGTGCACGCCGGACCCGAGAACCTCCAATGGATGTCCAACCGGGATATTTTGAAAAGTCTCGCAAGCAACGACCTCCACCGTGACCTTCAGTTCGCTACCTCCCCTCGCAGCGTCACGCATCTCGCCCAGCACATTCAAAATGCTTTCCCGGACTTCGGTACGTCTTTTTTACTGGGCGACTGCCGCAATCGATGCCGGGTCGCAGCTCGGAATCGAAATACCAAGGCTGGCCGACAGCGACAGCAATCGGAATCGGACAATGAGCTAATCAACGCACAGAGCGCCCGCCAGGCCGTCGCGGCCGTTGCCCGCCTTGCCCGCCCCCAGATGAGGACCTTCATCGCGCCCACCGTCTCGCGGAGAGGTACGTCCCTTTCTCTCTTGTGTCCAAACCACTTTACACCCTCGGGTCGACGGATAGGTTGGATAGCTCCGGGCATGGACGACGACTAGCGTACGATACGGTCCCGACTCCTCGATGGCGACTTTACGAACACCTTCCGGGATAGCTCGGTTACGACATCCGACTAGCTTATGTGAAACGACGACAACAACACCCTTAACCTCGATCCCTTGGTCGATGTATGTCGATCAATGTCAACAATTCGATTATACAAGCAGTCACTGTTGTGGAAGACGACCCGCGATCCTGTTCTCTTCCACCTGCCATCGATTTCCTCCAGCCTGCCTCGCCGCACGTCGCCCGACAGCTCGTCCAACCTCTCAATGCCCCAATATAATTCAGCCGACGTGTCCCACCTATACATTTACCCGTCCGTTCCTTGTTGCGCATCTTCAGTTGGTTCTGACATCATTTGCCCGTGTTCTTCTATCTAGCCGACTTCGTCCAGGAGCTCTACCTCAAGGAGCTCAAGGCGTACAAGCCCACCCCCATCAAGGAGTCCGATGCTGTCGGCCAGGTTGCCACCTTCAACCTCCCCAAGCCCCCCAAGTCCCCCGAGGAAGCCGATCTCGCCTCCAGCCTGAAGGAGTACGAGAACATGGCCGTCGAGGTCGAAGGTCAGGAGGGTGCCGATGCCGCTGCCCCCGCCGCCGTTGTCGAGGACTGGCTCGTTGAGGAGGAGGAGGAGGAGGGTGCCCACCACTAAGCGACTCGTCTCATCTCGTTCGGTACTCATCCAGTCGCTTCGCTCCCGATCATCTAATCCAGACATCGTTTAAACCCAGTCTTCTCGAAATAGACCCAAATCCGAGATTTTGAGAAAGAAAGAAGAGAACGGAAAAAAGTCTACGAAAAAGATGGAAACAGATGTTGCGATCGACCGATACCTCCCAGCCAGCCAGTGTCTTGATATATCCCATGCGCGGATCATCCCATCATTTCCAGCCTCTCCTTCCTCAGCTCTCCATCTAATGCCAACTACCGACACGACATGGGCTTGGTGATGGTTTGATGGTGGTGTGCGCATGTTTCACATGGCGCTTTCATGACTGGAGAGGAACCTCTTGCCCATTACTGGTTGAACGAAGCCAGCTCCGTGTGTCGTAGAGAAGTAAAATTACTTGTATAATTTCCAATTTACAGTATAGGCAGTCATGAGCTGTAGGACTGACGAGTACAGTACATGTTTTCTAACATCCTATGAGTCGACATCAGACCCATGCAATAACCAGGACGCGAGCAACTCGGCCTAACTCTTAGAGGTCATCCAATCGGCCAACGTAAATGGCAGTAAACTCCATACATCCTCTTACTCTGAAAGTTTGCCAGCGCCAGTGTCTAGCATGTACTTGCATACCCGGTGTCATGATACTGTCTGCATTCTCAAACATAAGATATCCCCTCTCCCAAACGCCTCTCTAACGTCTGCCCATTTACACTATTCACAGGACCTAATGGAGTACCTTTCTTTTCTTTTCTTTTTTTCTTTATTTTCTTTTTTGGGTTTTTTTTTTTAAAAAAAAAAAAAAAAATATCATGACCTGTATCCCCAGATATCACCACCGTGATGACACATTACAGCACCTACCAAATCCCAGGGCTTCAAGCTGGTCTTTGGGCTTCCAATCCCATCTGTCATGACACATGAGAACCTTCAACACTTCCATCTGATATAGACTAGCTTCCTGACTTTCGTCAATTCTTTTGGCAGGTCAGCCCTCGAACTCTGTTTTGTGACACTCACAACTCTCTTCGTTCCTGCTTATCCGTAGGAAAAGATAAATTGCATGAAGCCTGCAAGATAATACGGCCTTGAAGAATTGGAAACTCATCCGTTAAACGGACCAGGTCGAAAGGGGGGTTGATTTTATGCTACCTCGACGTTCAGTGCTCGACATAATACTACTAGTCAATGCCGAAATACAAATCCAGTATCAATGCTCTTCATGTATTCTGATGTGTTCTACTTTGGTTTATTTCACGAACAAGCATTATTTGTTCTGTAGCGTCTACTGAGACGCTACAGTTTACACAAGCAAATGACACTAACAAGAAACTTCATTGCTCGAATAATGTTCCTGTAATAATCCAATCTCTCCGATCTCCTGTCGGGTTGAGCGAGAGAGACAAGCCCAGCAGCATCTTTTTCTTCCAATGTGCGTTGACAAGCCAGGTGTACTCGGTACTCTGTCATTCAGGTAGCGCTATGTTGATGAAAAATACATGATACAAACTCCTCTCCCATTCACTTCACTCACCCATTGATCACATAGTTGCCCGTATATGTATGCTGATGTCTGCTCATCGATTCCATCATCCTGACAGGGTACAAACAATACGCATCTCTCTTCTCATCCGCCCGTAACAAAACAGAAGCTTTTATGACAACAGCAACACCAAGCAAGCGAGGACAGACAGTAAGCGCAAAAACCACGCTTCACCAAAGAAGCAACCGACGCGCACAATACAATCGCCTTCCAACACTTCCCTTCCTTTCTCTTGTTTCTCTCTTTCTTTCTTGTTTAATCATGCTTTCTCGTGCGATGCAAACTCCTGCTTCATTCAACAAGCAGGCTCAGAAACGCCCTATCAGTCAATCAATCAACCAATCAACCACCGTTAACGCCCCGCCTAGAAAGTGTGCTGTTCAGTTGCAAGCCAGATACCCGAATAATATACCAATTTGTATTTGAACCATCTTTTGTTTGAGAAATGCATGTTTGCCATGGTTGATGCTCGTTGAAGTCATCATCAGCACGAAAAAAAGAAAAAAAAAAGAATGACCATCTTTCTTCTTTCTTATACCGCTACCATATCTGAAGCCGGGTGAAGGGGAGAGCTACATCAAAGCCAACAGACAGAGGAAATAACTCGCTACCGAACAAAAGAAGAACTGTGCGGCGTAGGCCATTCAAGGGTCGAAGTTGGTTCCGCCAAACATCTGGTCTTCAGTCGTGTTAGACTTAACGACACCGCTCATTCGATTCGCAGCTCGTTGGTCGGCCCCATGAACGTCTTCCCAATCATCTGTCCTCCGGCGATCCGCGACGTCGTCCATTTCATCATCCTCGTATCTGTTATAGTGACGATCGTGCATGTTCTCTTCAAGCGCGCTTTCGTCAACAAACGTAAAGCCTTGAAAGTTGGCTTGTACCGAAGGTGAGAGCGGAGTGGACGTGGCATAGCCTCTGGCTAGCGCAGCTGCACGCTCATTGAGTGATCCGTTGGCGTTGAGAGCATTCGTGAATTCAGGGTCAAAATATGACACATCGGTGTCACTCTTGAGCTGCGGCTTAAAAGGCGGTGTAATGAGCTTCTTGGAGAGCGCATCCCAGTCGATATCGGCGAAAAAGGCATGCCTCTTCAACTCCTCGGCATCGTCGGTAGCGCCAAGGCGGTGCTTGGGGTTTCGGTTTAGAAGTCCCTTTACGAAATTCCGGCCTTCCAAAGAGAGTGTGTCGCGCGGGAATCTAACCTTGCCAAAGGCAATGTTCTTGTACATCTGTTGCGTGTCTTCAGCATAAAATGGACTCCAACCGCAGCACATCTCGAAAACGAGAACGCCCAGAGACCAAAAGTCGACCATCTTGGTGTAACCAGCTTCATCGAGAAGGACTTCGGGTGCTAGGTACTCGGTTGTACCGCAGAAAGTGTTTGTGGTGTCGTTCTTCGTCAGATTGGCCTTGGAAAGACCGAAATCGCAAAGAGCGATGTGGCCATTGGCGTCCAGAAGGATGTTCTCCGGCTTGAGATCGCGGTACACAATGTCATTTTCGTGTAGGTGTTGGATCGCAAGGATGAGCTCCGCAATGTAGAACTTTGCGCGCTTCTCCTCGAACTTGCCATCCTTCTGCAAGTGCCAAAATAGCTCTCCACCTGACATGTAATCCGTCACAAGATAAAGATCCGATGGTGTTTGGAAAGAAAATTTCAGCCCCACAATGAAAGGCGAGTCGGACATGGCCGTACGGACCAAGATGTTGCGCTCGCCCACTGTATGTGCCACCTCTTTCTTCTGGACAATCACCTTCTTAGACAGCACCTTCATAGCATAGATCCGACCGGTGTCCTTCTTCCGAACCTGATACACCTGACCGAATGTGCCTTTTCCGATAAGTCGGAGAATCTGGAAGTCCTCGGGACCAAAATGCTTCTGTTCGGCTCTCTGGTAGTGCGCTTCGACGTAAAGTTCGCCCGTCGGCGCATTCTCGGCCATAGTGTCGGCATGGCCTTGCAGGGGAAACCAACCTCGAATGGGCTCGGCTTTGTTGGCCTGGAAATCGACGTGTCCAAGAAACTCCTCACCAGATGGCCCTTGGCCATATACGGAGATGTCGACAAGCATGTCCGAGTCTACCACATCACTAGAGACTGGTCAGTATTCCAAGCATAACGCCACATATCGAGTCACTTACAAAACGGCCTCAGCGTCCCAGGTGGGATTAGTGAAAGACCGCCGAGATTGGGACGAGTTGCGCCTCCGAAACGTGTTGAAGTCAGTAAGACTTGTGTTGCTACTCTGCCGACTTCGCATGGGAATTGCCATCGGTCGGCCGGAGTCACTGCTTTGACGCTGAATAGGAATTCCGCCTGTCTGGACGGCTGCGATTGCGGCGTCATCGTCATTTTCAGCCGCACGGCGAGGGCCTGGCGAAATCAGCTCGCTTCGCTGAAAGACCACGACCACATATGGATCTCGGCACCTCCTCAAACCCCGTGCCTCTCCGACCTTGATTGTAAGCTTTCCCCTCGATGCTGGCGCTCCTCCAGAAGATGTGGAGGGTGTTGGTGTTTGGGATGCTGTGCGGTTATCCCTCTCAGTACTTCCTTCGCTGTTCGTCCTGCTCGTCTCCTCGGGCTGCTTTTCCTCACTTTGCGACGGTTGGGTAGTCGAAAGCGCACGTGTCGGGGTAGAAGCACCGCTCTTTGTAGCAGTCACATCTGTTAGCTTCGTAAGATGCGCAACAGACGGAGACGGATAGGAAAGGTCTTCTGGTTCTCCAGAACTACCGCGCAAGAAACTCGTGGGATTTGGGACATTGGGGGCAGGGCTAGCAGGATTTGACAGATGAGGTGCGGGCACGCTCGAACCATCAACTGTGGCCGTCAAGGGCGCCAGCAGCGACGACCTACGCGCAACACCGATTCCCCTCCCACCGTCCGGCACGTTCATTTGATGAAGGCTGGCTGGTCGTGAGCTTGGAGGGGGAGTAGCATCTCTTGGCTTCTCACTGCCCGCGTCGCCCTTGAAGTTGCGCACCGATGACCGTTGCGACGTGGGAGGGGTTGGGTATGGGTGCATTTGGTCATCTGCTGGCAGTGTAACATCTGCCACGGATCCCAAAGCCTCGTGAGCCAGGAGAAGCGATCCCTCGTCTCCCGAGACACTGTGTGTTTCCTGTTCAACGGCACTCAATGGGAGCCGAGGGGTGAGGCTAGCCCGAGGAGGTTCCTCGGTCTGGGGCGCAACGGCTTCGGGGGCAGCTGTGGTTTGCTCGTTCGCCTTAAAGGGCAGGAAGCGCGAAAAGGAGCTTTGGGAACGAACCTGGTTGAAATAGCTCATAATGCCCGGCAGCCGCTTGTCATGGAGATCAGGCTGCGGGGTTGCGACCCCTGAGCGTGGTGAGTCTAAGCCGATCTGGTCCGATCCGTCCTCCTCGGTTGCGGCAGGCCTGCTGCGCTTGTTAATATCTTCCATGATGATAG